CAGTTCTTTCATTTTCCTTAATATCTTCTCGGTTGGGTCCTTTTTATTTTCTTAAAGGCTCTTGATCTTGTCGTCGTATTCCTTTCTATCCATAACCACGGTCGCATTCCCCTTGTCCGCTGGTAGGATGATAATGTCTGGTTTTTCCCTTATCGTTCGTAGTGCTTTTCTTTCGTTCATTGTTAAGTTTAATTTAGGTGGCTTTGCTGTTTTAAGCACTCTTGCTACATTTTGACGAATTTATTCTGCTTTCACTGCAGGTATTCTGAGGATATCCGCTTCCACTTCACATATAATTTCTTCTTTGGGAACCCTCTTTGGAGCGACTGCGTAATTTAAGTCTTTGGCGAGTACTTTAGTTTCCTCCTCTGATAATGGCACGCTTGATCGGTTGATAACAACTGTTTCAATTAGCAAATCGTTGTTTTTCCTCTTGTGAGCGCGGCGGTCCAGCGATTCGAATTTCTTAACCTGCTTATCCCCACATCTTTGGAATTCACGTTTAGCCTTCTCCATGGTTTGTCCCAGTCTTCTCTAGCCATGGAATTGCCATTAAAGGCAGCGGGAGTCTACCGGCTATCGTGCAGTTGGAAATATTACGTTGGACTTAACATCGAGGAAGGTCTAACATCTAAGGAACATCTAAGGAAGATCCAACAATCTGCAGTCGCAGAGCATTGCCACAAAGGAGGACACAGCATAGAGTTCGACAAAACCAAAGTGCTAGCAAGAAACGGACATTACTTCCAAAGATTGACGAGAGAGGCGATAGAGATTCATCGACATGGGAATAACATGAATAGAGAAGATGGTTGGGAACTCAGCCGCACATGAAAGATGCTAGTGAACTTAACGAAGCCTTCTCCACCCGGATTTAACAAAAACAACTTACAATTAGACAGTTATTAATTACCTTTTCATGTATTTATTGTCAAATTTTAACCGAACTCATCACTTTCAACTTGTTTCTGAAGAAGGTTGCAACATGGCATCCGAAACGTCAAACATTTTTTCAAAAAACGCACCGCTTAACCCGAAAGTTTCTAGGTCTAGTGTTAGTTCTATTTCTAGTTTAATTAACACCGGCCGTGAAAGCCTTCGTACTTATATGACAATGATAATTTTTGGGATAAAAACATTCTAAATTATCTCAAAAATGTACACCATTCATCATTTTAACCCACTATTCGTTAGGACTAAACACTAAACGAACAGATCTAATTGTAAAATGATAAAATACCATAATTTGAGGATTACAGTATAAAAATTGATCATAACTTAAAAATTAAAAACGATTGAGAGAAACTTTTTGGATAAAAAACGTTCTAAATTATCTCAAAAATTTACTCTATTAATCATTGTAACTCATCAATCATTAGTACCAATCCAACCGATCTAAAATCACAAAGAAACCAAACTTGACATTTTCAATATCAAAATCGATACTAGCTCAAAAACTAAAAACGAGAGAAAGAAACTTTTCGAATAAAAAACATTCTAAGTTATCTCAAAAATGTACTCCATTCATCATTTTAACCCATTATTCATTAGTACCAACCCAACAGATCTAAAATGACAAAATGCTCAAATTTGACGATTACAGTATAAAAATTGATCATAACTTAAAAATTAAAAACGATTGAGAGAAACTTTTTAAATAAAAAACGTTCTAAATTATCTCAAAAATTTACTCTATTAATCATTTTAACCCATCAATCATTAGTACCAATCCAACAGATCTAAAATTACAAAATATACAAATTTCACATTTTCAATATCAAAATCGAAAATAACTCAAAAATTAAAAACGATAGAAACAAACTTTTCGGATAAGAAACGTTCTAAATTATTTCAAAAATTTACTCTATTAATCATTTTAACCCACCAATCATTAGTACCAACTCAACAGATCTAAAATTACAAAATATCCAAACTTTACACTTTCGATTTCAAAATCGATTCTAGCTCAAAAATTAAAAACAATAGAAATAGAAAGAAACTTTTCGGATAAAAACATTGTAAATTATCTCATAAATTTACTACATTAATGATTTTAACTCATCAATTATTAGTACCAACCCAACAGATCTAAAATCACAAAATACCCAAACTTGACACTTTCGACAACAAAACTGAAAATAACACAAAAATTAAACACGATAGAAAGAAACTTTTTGGATAAAAAACATTCTAAATTATCTCAAAAATGTACTCCATTCATCATTTTAATCCACTATTCGTTAGACCTAACCATACAGATCTAAAATGACAAAATACCCAAATTTGACGATTGCAGTATAAAAATTGATCATAACTCAAAAATTAAAAACGATTGAGAGAAACTTTTTGGATAAAAACATTCTAAATTATCTCAAAAATTTACTCTATTAATCATTTTAACCCATCAATTATTAGTACCAAACCAACAGATCTAAAATCACAAAATGCCCAAATTTGACACTTATACATCAAAATCGAAAATAACACTAAAATTAATAACGATAGAAATAACTTTTCAGATAAAAAAACATTCTAAATTAACCCAAAGGTTTACTACCTTCATCATTTTAACCTATTATTCATTAGTACCAACCCAAGAGATTTAAAATTACAAAATACCCAAATTTGACGATTACAGTATAAAAATTGATTGATGATAACTCAAAAATTCAAAACGATTGAGTGAAACTTTGCGGATAAAAGACATTCTAAATCATTTTAAAAATGTACTCTATTCATCATTTTAACCCATTATTCATTAGTACCAACCCAACAGATCTAAAATGACAAAATGCTCAAATTTGACGATTACAGTATAAAAATTGATCATAACTTAAAAATTAAAAACGATTGAGAGAAACTTTTTAAATAAAAAACGTTCTAAATTATCTCAAAAATTTACTCTATTAATCATTTTAACCCATCAATCATTAGTACCAATCCAACAGATCTAAAATTACAAAATATACAAATTTCACATTTTCAATATCAAAATCGAAAATAACTCAAAAATTAAAAACGATAGAAACAAACTTTTCGGATAAAAAAACGTTCTAAATTATTTCAAAAATTTACTCTATTAATCATTTTAACCCACCAATCATTAGTACCAACCCAACAGATCTAAAATCACAAAATACCCAAATTTGACACTTTCGACAACAAAACTGAAAATAACACAAAAATTAAACACGATTGAGAGAAACTTTTTGGATAAAAAACATTCTAAATTATCTCAAAAATTTACTCTATTAATCATTTTAACCCATCAATTATTAGTACCACACCAACAGATCTAAAATCACAAAATGCCCAAATTTGACACTTATACATCAAAATCGAAAATAACACTAAAATTAATAACGATAGAAATAACTTTTCAGATAAAAAAACATTCTAAATTAACCCAAAGGTTTACTACCTTCATCATTTTAACCTATTATTCATTAGTACCAACCCAAGAGATTTAAAATTACAAAATACCCAAATTTGACGATTACAGTATAAAAATTGATTGATAATAACTCAAAAATTAAAAATGATTGAGTGAAACTTTGCGGATAAAAGACATTCTAAATCATTTTAAAAATTTACTCTATTAATCATTTTAACCCATCAATCATTAGTACCAACCCTACAGATATAAAATTACAAAATACCCAAATTTAACACTTTCGATATCAAAACAGAAAATAACTTAAAAATTAAAGACGATAGAAAGAATCTTTTCGGATAAAAATCATTCTGAATGAACTAAAAAATTTGCTCCATTCATCATTTTAACCGACTATTTGTTAGTACCAACCCAACAGATCTAAAATTACAAAATACACGAATTTTCGATGCCAAATTGATCATAACTCAAAAATTAAAAACAATTGCAAGACACTTTTCGAATAAAAAGCGTTCTAAATTATCTAAAAAATTTACTCCATTCATCATTTTAACCCACCATTTGTTAGTACTCACCCAACAGCTCTAAAATAGCAAACTCGATATCGTTTTATATTTATCTGCCTCAAAGGTTTCGTCCGCAAGCAACCTTGGCTATAATCTTTTAAAATCAGCTTCGCGACCTTAGTGTGCAAGATTTATTTCTATACAAAAGTTGCGAAACTGAAGTTGTGGACGTTCGCAGTCCACACTTTTTTCAATGAAGTTTTCTTATTTGAACAAGCGTACCTCTTAATCTACTTAGAACAGATAGTAACAACTGATGATTGACTGCATCAATAAACATCTAATAGAACAAGATGGGTTCAGATATCCTCTATCCATATTGCGAAATATATCATCTGTGACAGTAATTAGCGTAATTACGCTATTATAACCGGCTATAAACCCAAATTGAAATCCAAATACTTACACAATCAGATTTTTTTAACTTAAACTAAAACTTGCGAAGATATATATCGCAAAATACTTAGAAATCTGATTTTCAGGGAAGAAGTTTACGCTTTTCATCACATATTTCTACGAACTTATTATATAATTTCTACGCGTGTGGAACGAAGCTTGTTAGATGTTTACAAAAATATCTCGTTTATTATTTTGCCAATCCCCTCCAAACATGAAACTTTAAAAAAGAAACGTAAGGATTATCGGCTATTTATTCTGCAAGTATTGCAAATCCCCGAATGAAACTCGCTGAAAACTTCCGCTATTTTCCCTGGCTCTAATGCGCATACCGGTGCTCTTTCTAAACAGTTTAAGTTTCTCACACCGAGTTTCGAATGTGCATCTGACATTTATAACGGAAGTTATGCGAACGAAGCTCCCTCTTAAAGTGCACACCCCCGTCCTTTCCCTCCCACACTTCTACTTCTCGTACCTAAATTAACTTCAAAGGAAATCTCACACCGACTGTCCCTGACATTAAAACAATGATATATTTAAAGTTTCTACTTTGATAAATACACCTAACAATGAACCAACAATGAAGAAGATAACTTTAATCATTAAATATTTATTTTGATTAATCTTTTTATGTTTATTTTCAGGTTGCTTGGGTTCGGTCTGAAGATCAAACCGTTTTAAGTCTTCAAACGAAAGTTGTAACTCATAACGGACGCATTTCAGTTAGTCACGATAACACGAAGCGTTGGCAATTACACATAAGACATGTAAAGGAATCCGACCGTGGATGTTACATGTGTCAGATTAATACGAACGCTATCAAAATTGAGGAGGGTTGTTTGGACGTGCACGGTAAGTTTAATTTCGAAATTGGCGATTAACTTTCTTGTCGGGTTATGGGGCGTAAGACTAAATCTAGTTCGATTAATGGAAAAGCGAATTCGAGATGCGGAGAAATGATTCTCCTTTCCAGGGGAGGTTATCGCGACTAATTCCCGAAACTGTGTTCGTTAATTCGCGAAAATAGCTAATTACTTACCGGTTGTCTCCGGGTCGATGAGCTCGACGTAAGAACAAGGTAATTAAGAGACGTGGTGTGACGTAATTGTACTCGAGGGAAAATCTTTAACTGTTATTCAGAACTATTAAAAGGATTCTGTCTTATAATAATAATAAACTACCTTTATTTCCAGAGTAAAGAGAACAAACAATAATAATAGTAACTATAGTTACTATAATGCAAAATAAAGATAATCAAAAAAGAAAAAAAAAAACAATATTTAAAAAGAAAAATAACTTAAATACAAAACAGGTGGAAATCCTAAGGCGAAGTTCAGAATGCGACGATAATATGGCCCGCTTCTGCTCTTCCATTTAACCTTAAAAATAATTGCACTTTTATTCAATCGTAGTATATGCCTACTCCTAAAAACTAAAACTATTAATTGATTCTGCATTATAATCTTCATTTCACATATAATCTATCTTATACAGGGTGTCTCAGCGAGACCGGTCATTAGACGTTTCTGGGGTTCTGGCCAAGCCAAAAATTTGAGAATGCAGACTTAAGTATTATCAATTACGTTCTCTTCATCTAAAATATTTTTAGATTTCTAGCACTTCCGGTTATACCGGAAGTCGCCACCTACTTTATTTTTTTAAATGGAACACCCTGTATATTTTTACATATTTGGATTTGTCTGTTTTCAAGGTTTATAAATAACTTTACTTTTTGCAATTTGATACGGCCGTTCTCGAGTTATTCGAATTTTTCTAGAAAAATCTGCTCCAGCAGACATTTGTTCAAAAAATCAGAAAACACTCAATTTTTGGGATATCAATTTAGGATTGAGAACATGCTTAAGCAACATGATGGAGTATGTTTTGGTGCCGAG